GACTAGTGTTACTTCCAACAGTGAGCAGCCCGGAAAAATTCCCAGTGAGCATGGAGCAGCTAGCCTTCCTTGCATCAGGTTTAACACTGTATTTGCAATATCCCTACCCTGCTGTAACTTCACCTCCATTCCATAGTTTACAGCAACAGCTCTGTGAACTCAGTTTGACCTACACAGATTGAAACTTTCTGGAGTGCAACTAATTCCCATACAAGTCCAGGTTTATGCTGTGAATCCTTCATTCCCCACAACCGCATGTATGTTTCCATCGTAATTTCTTCCATGTTTGGGCACATACTTCTGTAAGTATCAACTGTGAATTTCAGTTCTTTGCCTGCTTCTCTGTCATTAAAGCAACAGCAGCCTCACATACAGTAATTTAAAAAGCAATTGTACATCATTTGCATTACTAAGTGTATTGCAACACTCCCTTATTTCTACAGGGAACATTTTTCAATACTCAAAACAGTGCCTATTCCAAGTGCCATATATCACATCCTGGTTTCTTATACTCATAGCACACTTACGGAAGCAAAGAGAGAATGATCTTCAATTTAGTAACCTAATTTTTCCTCAATACATATTTTTGGCTGGAATGCAGTTGCCAACCAAATTCAGCAGAACTTGGACTATGCTAAGCAAAGTTGGACAGTGAAGAAGTGAACAGAGTGAAGAACAGAAAACACTTTGGGAGAAGAATTGGATACTCTGGTGAGCATTGTTCACTTGAGCTGTGTAATCAAAGATCTCCTTCTATCCACTTTCCCAGGCATCTCTGCTTCTTGCTGATGGCAATACATGCACAGCAAAGTATGGTTTGTTAACAGAAAATACCATGTAGAGACTTGTCAACTGCTCTACAGCAACCAAAAGTAGCTGCTCTTAAGTTTAACTTCGTATTAAGAGTTTACTTGGAGTACCCTTCATTAAAAACTTAAAGTATGTTTGTACTTACTGCAAGTAACATCACTCAAAAACAGTGCAGGCAGATTATTGCCTTGTAACACATCATCTTTTGCTTTGCCATGCATTTCTGTAGGCCAGGACTGCATTAAAGCAGTTTTGCATTTGATAGAAGATCTGCGCTCTGCTTACCTACCAAAGGAGGTATTAAGCATTCATCAACATAAGATCTCGTAAAAGGTTGCCTCTCATCTTACTTGACTTCCAATAACTTAACATTTAGGGCAGATAAACAGTTTCATGTAATGCTGTAACTGATCAGAAACCACTAAGGCACTACAAAAACAAACTGAGCAAATAGTACACTAGCATTCATTTCCAGAAGCAAGAAATGCCATCTTAGTTATGCTTACTTTAGCAATTAAATGGATTTCTAAGGCATACTGGCACAAGAAACACATGTACAACAATTCCCAGTCCGCATGTTTTTAGACTAAGCTTGTTAAATGGGAATAACCACATGTTGTCTTTCTTCTTTTCGTCTCTCTTCCAGTCCAATAAAGTATTTCAGGATAAAAATCACAATATTACATAATATTTGCATAATGCCATTTCAGTATTGTACTAACTAGGGACATTGTTACTACCTCAATTAGTAACATTACAACATGCAAAGGTTATACCTGAATAAATGCAGCTTAAAGTTAGATGAGTTCATTAGCTTTTTTGTTCACCTGACCTCTAGAGATTCACATTTTTAGTACTGCCACAGCATTCAATTTTTTAAGTATGCCTTTTCACGGGAATACACAAATTCCCTAGTTTTAATTCTCTTAAAGTACCCTCAGCAGTCAAAGGCTGAGATAAGTTCACCTGTATATTTATGCTTGAATACCACTTAAAAAAAAAAAAAAAGAAACAATCATCCATCTTCTAAACCACACATCTAGACCCTATAAAATGTCCTTTTTTTCCTCCCTAAAATTCAAAGTGTTAATCAGTTGTTCATGATCCATTTGAGATGCACTGAAGCTTAAGAGAGACATCCTCAAAACAAAGCACACCTCCCATGCTTTGCTCTTCCCTGCTCATACAAGCATGTACTCTCAACACAACCTCCAAATGAAAAAAGGTTACAGTATAAATGATGTTGCTGTACACTACGCTATACTTTAGCTAATGAAGCCAGATACAGTGCAGGCAAGGAGCTTGCAGAACATGATCCAAGAAAAGCTTGGCAGAGGTCAGCCTTCTGTTGCAGAATAAGTTGCTCTTCCACTCTACACTGGCATAAGCTAGACTTAGTCACACACAGACACCAGTGATAAGCACTGCAGCTATTTAAAGCATAGGGTAGAGAGAAGAAAATTCCTTAAACCTTAAAAAAAAAAAAACCTTAAACACTTGAGAAGAAAAAAACAAAACAAAAAACCTCTGTATCTGCCCTCCTCTTCAGAAATTTGTTTTTTCTGTCTCAGTTGATCAGAAATACACACATTTCTGCAGGGGCAAGTAAGCATCTCCCCATGCAACATGTCATTTCTTGATAAGTTGAATCAGATCAAGCTAGATGTATAGGTCAGGTAACATTACTGAATGCATTCAACACAACATTCTTGCTAGTCGCACCAACTCTTCACTTTCATAACCAACACTGGTTGAACTTTATTTTTTTTCCTACAAGTTGTAGGAGCACAGCCCACGGCCAAAAAAAAAAAAAAAAAAAAAAAAAAAAGCTATAAGGCTGAATGTATGCATAAGTCAGTTGAAGTCAGGATGAAACCTTCCTTTACCCTTAAGACAATTTTCTGATTAAACTGCATAAAGCACTGCACTTATTTAAAAACACAGCAGTGTGGCCTAAGAGCAATGCATCAAGCATCCTCCCTGACAGCAGCAAAATGCTTCAGATGGGGATGCAGCAATTTCAAAGCAGACACGTGTAACCCCATTAAAAGAAGAGACGAGCCACATCCTTATCTCCAATAAAAAGAATTAGTTAAAGCCCCCAAAACAAGCAAACCTATAAAGTTCAGATAACCTTATCTGCTTTCACATAGTTGATCCTTCTTGGATTCGTATTAATTGTTTTGGATGCATTTCTACTAGCACATGTCTAAGAAGAAAGAATGAAAAAACCATAGAGAAACACTTTGTCTAAGAAAGAGAGGGAACAAGAATGCCACCTGCTGGAAACAACATGAAGCAAGCTTGGAAACATTCCACAGTGAGGTGGAAAAACATGTGCTTTTAGTCTGCTCTAGTCTTCAGTTCATATTTAAGAATGCTGGGGAAAAAAAAAAAAAGTAGATACAATAACAAGTCAAAGTAACTGCCACACTGTAGTTAAAGTCAGCACAACAGCACAATTTATGCTAGAAGCATAATGATTACTACCTGGTGCAAAAAAAAAAGTTTCGGTTTTACCATACCAACTAGATCCAAAGAACATCAAGTAAACTATATTTGAAGGCTCAACTTCGCAACATTTAAGAGCTCAATTCTCATCAAGAAGATAATTAATTAGTTGGCAACCTAGCACATCAGACTGTGCTATTCCTAACAAAGTTCTGTTTCAGTTAAGAAGTCTTCGCTTTCAAGATTTTCCACCAAATCTAAGTGGTATTCACAGATATTAAGAGTCAGAGGAACAAGTTAAGCTAGTGAATACCTAAAAGGGACTCCACAGCCTTTCTCCCCCAGTTCTGCAAACAATGGCAGCATGGGGAGCTTCTACCTACAGGGGCCACTGCACCTCCACAATAGCTAACCAAGCACATGGCCCTCACCTCTTAACGACTCACTGCTCCTCTCAGGTGCTTTCCATCTCCATACACAAACACCATAAATCCTCATAAAGCATCAGTCAGCATTTTTAGGTAATGTCTCAACATGAAGCATAGCACATGAGTATTCTTATGAGTTACCTGTACCGAAGGATCTATTATTGTTGTGAAGCCTTCTCAACTTCAAGCCCATTCACTTACCCCAAGCAGTTATCTGCAAGGGCTGTCAAAAGAGCTTTTCTACCTTTATGGCAGACAACAAATTGATGCATAACTTTTGGATCTTCACTCAGGTTTCACCCAAAAGTAGTTTAATATATGACAGTTAGAGAAAGGTCAGGTTGGGTTTTAGGAAAAGGTTCTTCACCAGAGGTGGTCAGACACTAGATGAGGCTCCCTAGGGCAGTGGTTACAGCACCAAGCTGCTAGAGTTCAAAGAGCATTTGAACAACACTCTAAAAATAAGGTTTCACTTTTAGGTGCTCCTGGGTAAAGGAGGTGGATTCTATGATCCTTGTGAATCCCTTCCAACTCAGGATAGGATATGATTCTAGGATCCTAGGATCTAGGATTCTAGATGCAGTATCTCTTCCCTGCATATTACAAGCACTAACTGGATTCCCTCAGAAGCATAATCAGTTAGATATGGATTAAATGTTAACTCGAAAAATGTTGCACAATCACTCTTCTCACATAAGATATCCCACTTTTTTCTGGGTGAAAACAAAAAAAGATATCAACTACTACAGTATGTCACAAAGACTATCCTGCATTCAGAAGCAGGAGGTAGCTTCAGAGTGCCTAATGAAGCAGCAATTCTCTGCATATCACTTCAGTATCTATATTTCATGAGAACAAAGTTGGATACCACAAGCACCAAGAAGATGCAACTCCCACCAACCTAAGAGCAAATTCATCCCTGATTCCGCAGAAAACAGGACAGTAAACTAAAACCTAGCTTCCTTCTCTTTGCAACTTATACAGCAGCTTCCCACAAGGAACTGCATTAGTTTCTCTGTGTGGGACTGAGCCTGAAGTACAGCAGTATTGAACATTCCGCAATTTCCACAAAGTAGAAAACCCAGCACTATGGATACAACGTGTGCTGGTCTTTCAGCTCTAAATGTGGAAATTGGGTGGTGATAACTCAGAGTTTGTAGAACAAAAAATCAGACTAAGAATAATCGCGTGCAAAGAAAACACTTGATGGAAATTAGGAAGCTTGCAGCTACCAACAGAAAGCCTAAGAGCCTAAGACATCTTCAGTTTTGACAACAAACTCCTGTTTCTGACAATTTCTTGTCACACAGATTTTTAAAAATCAGAGTCACAGATTTATTTTTTTTTCTTTTCACAGAATATGATTTGAACAACACCATCTGGTTTTCAAACTTGATCAGACGCACAAGGAAAGGCATCAGGTACTAACAGACTCTTGGACAGGTTTTTCTTCATCATCTTCTGCAGTTTCTTCTTCTTTTTCTTCTACTTTCTCTGCTTCAGGGAGAAGTCCATCAAGGTTCAATAGTAAACCCTCACTGGTTGAAGATCTAATAACCAGCTTCTTCACAAACGGACCTAAGAAAACAAAGAATACCAGCTATTCAGTTACTCCACCAATGTTCATGTCTCCCTACTGATTTATCTTAATACTAATCCAGATTCTGTCAGTGTATGACCTGAAGCAGAACCATACAAGAAGATCAAAATACTGAGATAAAATAAGTGATGGTAGATAAATTAACAACACGTTCTTCCCACATAAAGCAAACATAACATTCTGTATGGTAAACCCCATATCTTCATTCTGTCAATACCATCTCTACACAGCTTGGCTTCCAAGTGTTTACAACTCCTTACTTACAACAATGAAGCCCTCTTCCTAACAATCTACTTCTAGCCAAAATGATCACATGGGCACAAATGTAGGCTCCAAAACACATTACAATTGGTTTTCCTCTATTTGCAGCTTCATGAAAATTAACTAGGCACTTGCTGATCACAGAAATACTCATACATGACAGAGGGAATAAAAGAAACCTATATTATTTCAGGATCCTACCACCAAACATTGAATGAGTCTTTTGACAAGAGCAACCACAGAAATAGTCCAGTTTCTTAGTGGAAGTGTATCCACATATACTCCAAGAACATATGCCTGGTAGCATTTTGAGTCTTCCAATACATTAAGTGATTTGCAGAGGAATGCTGTTTTAGTGCTAACTGCACAGCTGCATGAAAACATGCACATATGGATCATCTGAAAGAATCAGAACCTGGTAGCTAAGTGATTGATAGTTAGCAAGCCTATGTAGATTCTGCTGTTGTAAAGATACTTTAAGGAACATGCCTGCATCCGACACACTGCAAATATTTTTTAAACCAGTCAGAACAATCAAAGGCCCACACCATAAACCAGATACAACAAAGGAGGCAAAACACTATGAAAATAGCTCACCCTTAGTTAACTAAGTTGGTGTAGTTCATGAATAAACCCCATTAATTGAAAGTGCAGCATGCCTTCAGGCAGGTAGCTAGCATCAGATTAATGTCAACTAAAGAACCTCTTTAGTAACTGAAGGTGGATTCTGTGATTTTGAGTTCAAATTCTTTGTGCTGAGCTCCAGAAAGGTCATGCTAGTGGGCAAAACCAATCCACACAGACTCTGAAGGCCTTTATGACTTAAGCAGATTCACTGTATGGCTATAAGCTATTTACAAATCAATCTTAAAACTTAGTTTTGTGCATCATCACACAGTTCTGTAGCACAACAAGAGCTGACATCACAAGTGCACACGCTATCAGTGCCTTCAGGGGCTGTCCAGTTCGTAAGTTATGATTCACTGAGTTACCCAATAGCTCCCTTCTCCCATCTGAAACAGACAAAGCAGTGAGGTCACTAATTATATCCTAATTAACATTTGCTTCTTCATTTTGATTCAACAGCTTCAACTAATAGATCAAAAGAATAGCTGCTTACCAGCACTTGATGGTTTGAACTTGCAGATATCCTCAATAATTGTTTTCAAATTGGCAACGATCTGCTCAGTAGGCATATCCAGCTGAAAAACAATAATGCAGAATTGACCATGATGCTCTCAAAGCCTACACAGATATATCTGAAGGTGCTGGATATATATATGATTTCTGTATTTGGATAAATATATATTTTTTTCCACTGGGAACATCAAGCTATTTCCCTAGGATATCAAGCTAATTGGGTCCAGAGGAGGGCCAAAGATGATCAGAGGGCTGGAGCACCTCCCCTATGAAGACAGGCTGAGGAAGCTGAGGCTCTTCAGCCTGGGGAAGAAAATGCTCCATGGGAACCTTCCAGCAGCCTTCCAGTACCTAAAGGGGGGCCTGGAGAGGGGCTTATTTTTTTTTTTTCTTTTTTAAATTTATGAAGCAGCAGGATGAGGGAATATGGTTTTAAACTAGAAGAGGGTAGAGTTAAGCTAGATATTAGGATGATGAATTTTACTGTGAGAGCTCTGAGACACTGGAATAGGTTTCCCACTGAGGCTGTGGATGCCTCCTTACTGAAGGCATTCAAGGCCAGGCTGGATGGGGCCATGAGCAACCTGGTCTATGGGAGGTTTCCCTGCATATAGCAGGGGGTTGGAAGTAGATGATCTTCAACATCCCTTCCAACCCAAACCATTCTGTGACTCTGTATTCCTGTTAAAGAGCTAGACATCCCATTAACAGCTCAGAAGTATTTTATTAGGTTGTATGCTCTTGATTATTTCCCATCTTTCTACACACGACATTCAAGAACTACACTTCCACTGCTCCATACACATGTAGCCTTACAAATGTTCTAAAAGCAACGTACATAAGCACTTGTTCAAAATCACAAGGAAATTCAATATTTGAAGAAGTGAGCATCAAGAAATACAAGTCAAAATACAAAACAGATCAACTCCAAAAAAAAAAAAAAACCAAAACAAAAGCTCTTAAAATTGAAGGCATTAAGATACACAACTGAAAGAACACAAAAGAACACAAAAGAAATCTTAAACAACAACACAAAAACTTGGAGCTCTACTTCATTTTTACTTTCCCATTTCAACATACTACAGCTTGCAGCATGCGTATTATTGAGCACCAAGCACAGACCAGTTTTCAACTACCCTTTTTATACACTTCAGTTTCCATCTGTAGCTTTTTTGATCTTCCAACCAAAACCATGGACTGATGGCTCCTCATTCTGCACAGTATCCTTAAGTAACAAAGGACTTACACAGTGCTTCAGCTACATAAGCAGACCTCACTGGATTGATCATAAGCATTTAGGAGTGAACCAGCCTCACTGCCAAAAAAGTATTGTTTCCTCAGATATTGAGCACCTCAAACCACAACTTCTATGGACACTCCTTGACAATGAGTAATTCACAAGAAGAGACAAACCCAAACATCCTGGTTTCGATTAAATTCAGGGCCACAGCTCTTGGAAAGCTGAATACACATTTCCCAGACTTAATCTTCTGGAAGCATAATATCCTGCACTGTCATTTAGTCTGCCCCCTGGTTTCACCATACAATCCAGAAATCTTCACTTGTATGAATGTCAGTATTTTTTTTCATAGAAATTTCAGAAATTTAAGATAAAATAGCATTTTTCTTACAGAATTAACTCCACTTCAGTGGACTGTACAGTAGTCACTGGGGTCCCATCTTTCTGTCCAACTCCTCTCCCAGTGCAGCATAAGCAGACTTCATTAACATCTTACTTATCCATAAACGTATTCATTGCAATAGAAATGCTGTTAAGCTTCAGTAGTCTCCTCCCAGATTTGGTCCATTGATCTCCTTTTATGCACTTCTGGCAATCTTCTAATCCAAACACCATTCCTCTGCTACACAGACCAGTAGTCATTCATTTTTATTACTGCTATGCTGATTGCAAAGCATGATGATAAACCTGTCATAAATTAACAGATGTAGAAATTTGTTTGCTAATGCTGAGCATTTCAATTCACTGACAGACTGATCACGCTTTAAGGAATTAAAAATAAAAGAATGCTTGGAACAATCTAAACAATTTAACACTAATAGCTGATTAGAAACTATACTTCAAATTTAGATTGGAATATTATTTGCTTCCATATCTTGCACTGTATTCATGTCTCAAGTAAGCCTTCACTTGTACAGCTTGATAAATGTTAAGTTGCTTATCTGTAACCAAGTCTAGAACTCAAAAGAAACAGTTTTTTCAAGTTTCTCTAAGCAATACGTTGCAATTCCTTCTAAGAACTTAAGACTACAAGACGTTATGAGAGAAGGCAATTACCTCAAAACAGAGATATCTGCTAACATCCCATATTTGATACTATTAGAAAATAGGGCAAAGCAAGTTACATTCCATCAGATAACATGACACATCCCAACAGCCTGTGTGCCATAATTTTCTTGAGATGTCAATGGCACCATAATGAAGACATGTAATTCCCAAAGGGTTCTGAATATTTCTAAGTAGTTTCCACATCCACACAGTAAGTAACTCACAGTAACTCGTGGTGTGTGCACAGTCACTATGTTTCAGCACTTAAATATTTAGGTTAATTTTAAGCTTACTAAGCTGACAAAAGCACTCCAGACCAGACCTAAAGCTGTGCAAGCTGCACAGCAGATTGATTCAGTAGGAATTGGTCAGTATCTTTAGGTCTTGAGTCACACTGGCAAATAAGAAAGTTTACAAAAGGAACAACTACTTAATTCTACTCCATTTTGTGTAAAACAACCACAAAGTAGCTTAGAAAACCGATAGTATGTACTACAACTAGAACACAAAACTGAAGTTCTTCCCAGCTCACTCCTTCAAGTTTAGGACATCACTCTCTAGAGTAGCACTAGGAGCTGTAAGGAGGGTCAGGAAAGTTCATGCTTCCTTATTCGTACAAAACATGCTTCTTCAAAAGGGTCTCTCACTACCTCTGCTGAGGCTTCATAAACAGAGTTTTAAACATCACCTTTTCAGGAATCTTTAGAGGTAGGCAACTGAATACACAGAAAAGGCACTTGCCTACTTGCTGGCTACATCTGCAAATGAAGAACTAGATGATGCCCTACTATTAAAACAATAAATTGAGCTTTTTCTGAACTGTGCATAGGGAGTTGTGTCAGGAGATCGGTCATGGCAGTGCATCTGCACTACTGATGTAACTACTGTGTGTGTTACATGTAACACACACAGAGGAAATGCCAGCCATGGCAGAGCAGGAAAACCTGGAGAAGGCAGCATGAGAGCCTTTTCTTCTCCCTCCTCTGCACATCTACCAGTCGCTTTCAGTTCAGACAACAGTAATTTCACACCACATTCAAGAAATGTAAAGGAGCTATAAAGCTTGAGCCTCCACCTTACTCTCGCACTGTCTCTCTTCCAGCATATAAAGAATATATGCAGTAACATAATATTCTAAAATACTGCCATCCCAAGAGCCTTATACAGCAAGGCACATCAGTCCCCCCTCCACTCCCAGAACCAATTACGCACTTGCGAGGAAGCCAGAACATGCATTAGCACTGATCCACCAATACATTTTTCAGCCTCTTCCTTCACTTCCTCAGCCTCTTTCCCACCTCAAGCCAGCCATAGGACTGAGGCTCCCACATTAAATGCTGCAACAATTCAGAAATTACAGCTTCAGCACCTGCACTCAGAACTCAAGTTCCACTTACTAAAAAAGTCTTACAGGACAATGCAGTCAATAATTATCTGTTTCAAAACTGGAACTGGAATTTTTATGGCTTTATCTCACGGCAATTAAGAGACCTGGGTTGGCTAGTAGTCATTTAACCAGAAAGCTGAATCAGTTCTCAAAGCACTTGAACTGAGCTTAAAGCTGCAGTACCTGAGGGGAAATTAAAAGAAAAAAAAAAAAGTATCCCCAAATCCTCTAATACAACCCTTCTAAGAGAACTAACAAGAACAGAAAACCCATCAAGAACAGCATTTCAAGTCTGCCTTCTTCACCTGCAAGATACAGAATTCCAATCCCCTATAATAAGTAAAAATTTATTGCAATCCACTGCAAAACAAGAAATAAGCTCACAGAGAAGCATGAGTTCATAGATCTGAATTCCCTTTGTCTCCTAATGCTAGTAAGAAATGAACAGCAATGCATTTCACCTTTCAGTTCATATGAATGCTGAGACATTTCAGGAGCACAGTAAGGTGTCAAGTAACTAACAAGGGTACTGTGACTGGCATCCTGTAATAATACATGATCTCTGCACTATTCAAGTAAAACCACTTTTTCTCCTATTCCAAGAGAAACACTTGGCTTGGCTGAACTCCAGGAACTGGTCCTCAGAGGCTTCTATAGAAAAATGTTAATAAAACCTCCTTAATACAGGTTCAGAGCTACTCCTAACAAATTTCATTTTGAGTTGGACCAGCATAACAAAACAACTGCATTTCATCATTATTCAGAGAGTCGAATGTCTTTCATTACACAGCGAGGGCAGAAACCAGAGCTTCTCTTCTTTTGAGAACAGAAGAAAGCCCCCAAACCAATAGCTAAGTGCTGACACACATGGCAGATGAATGTTCCTGTGAGAACATCTGGAGGACAGCCAGTATCAGTTAGAGACGAGCACTGACCTATTTTGTGCTGTCTTGCTTTCCACAGGCTTCTGCTCAGTTGTGAATCTTCCTGAGAAAGTCAGCAAGTAGTAGGGGAAAAAGCAAAAGAAAAGAAAAATCCCAAACCAAAACAGAGCTCTCAGTAGGAATCTAAACTAACACAGACCCTGTAGATCCAGTCTTCTCATCCTGGTGCTGAAGTGGAATGCATTTCAGAGGTAGTAGCTGTAATACTGCTGCTTCAGAAATAATAGTAGGAAAGGCAGAAACGCAGTCTAGAACAATCTTTATTGTGGCTGTGCCCTTGGTACTCACAGTTGTAAAGTACTATTCCCTAGTTCTAATTCAGCTTGCTACAATTTCTACCACACCTCCAATTCCTCGTTTTGTTCCAAATTCAAGCTGTTTGCCAGTAATCGATGACTAGGAAAACAACATTCTCAGGACTGTGGAAACCATTAGGATCTGCACAAGACTGTCAACTCTCACTAGATAGACAGACTCACAAGGTAGATAACAGAAGGCTGAATGGTCCTAACACTCTGGACCTACCCAAAGCTGGATTTCTGTTCCCCATCTTAATGTAGACTTCCACTCACTTGTATATCCCACATACCAAATATCTGATTGTCTCATCTCTATACTTCTAACCCCACAAATAAAATAGTGCTTCTGTACAAACCATCCATTCACAAAAGGTATACAATATGCTTCCAAACACAAACAAACAAAATTCTCACCTCTCAGAATCATCTTGCTCTGTTTCACAGAAGAACCATTCCCTAGGCAGCTCTCTGCTCAGACAAGAAAACAAACTGGAAACTTCTTTCCAGTGTCACATTTATTTGCATTCTGATTTTCCTAAGCATCTCCAACTTGGGAGGAAAGAAAATTGTAGCACTCTAAGTTCTAAAACAGTGCCAAAATCCTCAACAAAAATGACTTCAATCTGTCCTCTTCAGATAGCATGATTTTGAAAGGGATATCTCCAGCATTCTCACTTTGCCTCCCTTCTGCTTTAAGCTCTGTGTCTCAAAAGAACATTTTACATTCTCGGTTTCACAACTCCAGATCTACTAATTAAATCTAAATCTACTGCCAACTCCCAGGCTTCTCAAAGACATCTCAATTACTTACTAAATAAGAAAACACCATTAAGGCTGCTGACTTATGTGGGAGTACAGCACAACTTCAAGCTATTGGCCGTAATTGAACTAACAGGCAACATAAGACAGCAGCACTAAAGGGAAAACATGTCTTTGAGAAATGCCAGCTTGGCAGAGTCCCAGAAACATCTATACTACCACCTGGAAAACAGCAATATATCTTCACATCTCTGTGTAATTCACAAATGATTATTTTCCTCACTGGCAAGGTTTAAATGTAAAGAGCTCTAGATTTAGTAGTAAGCAGACATGCGTAACCACTCAAAGCTCCCACAGCCTTGCCTAGAGCAGATTGCCTCCCAGCACCGCTGCACAACAGCACAACTAGGTCAGGCAAAGGAGAGCAGCTACAGAGGGTGGAGACACTTGATGCAAGCTTAGCCACAGACATACTTCTGCATACAGCTCTCTGAACACGTCACATGTGCTGTGCTGGAGTCACCTCTGCCACGTAGCTGAAAGTATCTTGCCACAGCTGAACTGTGCACACGTAAATCCCCATCATACTGCTTTCAAACCAAGATTAAGAGCTCGTTCACAAGACCCTGCTATTTACTAATTAAAAATTAAAAAATAAAAAATGACATCTCAGGCTGTACCCAGAACATAAGCTGCCTTGCAGCACCAGCATCTTACATCAGTAACACAACACAGCTTAAGACTCAGACACTCTAACTACAGCAGTAAGAAGGTATGCTAAGTAAAACCAACTGCAATAGCTTCAAATGCTATCAAACCATCTGAGTTCTTCAATCACTTCCATTCAATCCTGTAGGTTTTTAACCCCTTATAAACAAATAAATAGAAAAATAAAAGAACCTTAATATGCAGATATTTTAAAGACTGATCCACAATACAAGATGAAGAAAGTTAAAGGACTAAAATTTAGTCCAAAGCAAAAACAACATGAAACATGGTAAAATGCTAGAAACAAAGACATCCATGGATTCGTGATGTTTCACATAGTCACTTAGACTTGTAATACAGATAAAGATGCAAACTGTATGTATGAAAATGTAATGCATCCCATATTTTAGGAGAACCTTCCTGAAAACCTCAGTTTTGAGTACTGTATATAAGAACAGGTTCTTTAAATTCACATGCACAACTCACAGGCGCTAGCCAAAATTAACAGGCTTGCTTATCTCTACCACCACCAGACAAAACTGCAGAGATTAGAAGTCTCATAAACTTCCTTTCCACACCACTATCAGTTAATGGAAAGTTAAATATAGGTAGGATTACAAACAGACATAACAGAATGGAAGCAAAACAATTCAGAAGAGAAAAAAGAACGCTTAGGGAAAAGGACTAAAAGCCTCTAAGAGAAGAAAAAATACTTTTCTAGAACTCAGTTTCTTATGGGGCAGTAGTTAAAGTACAGATTAATTTTATGGTATTTAATGTGTGGTGCAATCAGCTTTTTTTTCTGCCCTGAACTAGGATCAAAGATTTTAAAATGAAACCAGGTCTGAAAATTTCAAAATGAAAACAGTCCTTAATTGTTACGGTTAAGTGAATACTTTCTGTTCCCCTTGTGCATACTCTACAGACTTATAACCCAAAAATCATTAACTACATTAATAAAACTTTGTTTTCTTCACATAGAGGTGTTGGGATTGGGGAAGTATGCATTAAAAGCAGAAACGCTACTGGGATTGCTAGGAATAGGGCACATTTTGTATTCAAGTTGCATCTTATTTTGTTCATTACTACAATTCACTGCCAATAGAACAGCAATCATAGATCTCATCCTCAGCACCCTTAACTTCTAAGCATTAGATATGTATCTCAGTCTCTAAGTGGAGCCATCTTCCACCACTGTACTTTAATGACATACAGTGCTCACATCAGCTCAAGACACTACACAAAACAGACTGAAGTTTCATTTACTTCATGGGTCATTAAAACAATACTTAATCTGGGAATGCACAGGGCAAACACTTTTCTTCTCTGTTTCAGCACTAACTTCAGCTCTACTCAGCAGGACAGTCAAGAACTCTCCATTACCACTTACTCTTGCTATCCTTGTTTTGATTAGATGCTCATCTTGTACCTTGTACTCAAGACCTTCTCTGAAGAACTGTAGCATTTTGGGAATATCATGGCCCAGGGAATCTAATAAAAAAACAAAAAGACAACAAAGAAGTTAATACTTACTAGGAGGACAGAACATACTATTAGAAAAGGGAGAATTCAGTGTTTCACCTTGAAGCAACTAAGCACCAAACAAAAATGCTGTTTCCATGTTTTCTATTTAAATCTCCTTCCATATTCCCTCCTCCTTCATTATCAGCAGATCTTCACAGATGATATAAGTAAAATAATTAAATACGTAACTCAGATCTCACTTCAAATAAAAAAAAACTTGTGAAAAGCATACACACGTAGTCTTTGTTACCTAGTATAATTATTTGGAAGACTGGGATCTACTAAGTTAAACTCAGAACCATATCCAAGCATCTGCCTTGGAAACAAACAGTACACAACTGTGTAATAGCAAGATTACACTCTACCTGAAACACTCTGGCTCAGTGCAGCCATTGCACAAGTTGGTTTTGTTATCTCAGCTGCAGGAGCTTATTTGACAGATTTACAACATCACTCAATTGCTTCAACTGCAAGTATTTCTCCCACATGTCTTCGGATGGCTCCAAGATAAATCAGCCATCAGGAACAAACAAACTAAGCAAGTTTGTAATGAAATAACACAGCTTTCATTTTTACAGAAGCATCTGGAGTATTCTGTTGTAATGCTTTGGACAGGCTAATACATTTGCTGCAAACATTCAGGAGGCTAAGACCACTGCCTGCAGCTTGTGAAAACATTGTTAGGACAGCTGCGAGAAGGTAAGTGAGAATGTGAGTCAAGATTTACTGCTTTAAGAAGCTGACACATCTGTGTAACAAACAGAGCTCTAAAACGCATCTAAAATGAGTAAGGGAGATAAAAAAAAATATTGAGACTGATATTTGATGCTTAGACAATCTGACCTGAATAGAAAGTTTCTCGTGCATAATAAAAAGGGAATGACATGCAGATAAGTGAACAAGTTACAATAACAAGAAGCATGAAGAACATTGTTATTCAGAAGCACTAACACAATGAGCAGTGATGAAGATGGGATCCAACAACTGTTAAACAACATAACTACCTCAGTGAACACGGTTAACAAGCTGCTTCTATTCTCTTAGGTTTGCCACACAAAGCTCCCAGTACTATTACAGCTGATCATATATAGAATGACACAGACAACTAGCTGACAAACCAGCATTGACTGTAATCCCAACATTTGTGTTGTAGGAGAAAGGGGGAAAGGCACAGCACTAACTTCCTAAAGCAACTCTCATAAGATAGAACATGTGGCTCAGTCACAGCAGCAAAATACTTAACGCGATTCTATGCCCTCAACAAAAAAGGTCACCTCAAGAGTTAAATCTTGTTCCAGTACTTAGGTTTATAAAATAGATTTGCTTCTTACTTCTTTTTGTGCTGGGGTATTTTTGTTTTAGCTTGCTCCTTAACGGTATCAGTTTAGGCATTATTGCAGGAACAGCTATGTAGAAATCCACTTGAATTTCTTCTTCCAAAATCTACATTAAGACAAATGCAAATATATTTAGGAATACAATTAATTACCCAAGTACACAAGTTCAATCTACCAATGTGCCAGAACATACAAAGCAGTATTTCACTGTTCATATTGGCTGCTAACTTCCAGCTAGATCTCTGGACATGAAGTTTCCCCATCAGTCACTACAGCAAATTAAAACATTTCATTTACTTAATTAAAAATAAATACCCATTTGATTAATTCAATGCCTCCTACAACAGCAGCTCCATTCTCTCGAGCTATTTCAGCTTCTTGCTCATTCTGTTGGAAGGAAAAAAAAACGTGTATTAACATCAGTACACCTGATTGCTCTGTATCAACAGCAAAGGAATGTCTTAAAACTAATCAAAGACCCAAAATATCCCACACTGGAAATTTAACACTGGAGCAGCAACTCTAGCTTACTCCACTCAATTTCAGTCCCAGTAAGAAGCAACAGGCAAGTCTTCAGTTCTCTTCTGGTGAAGCATGAGAAAAAAAAGTCATCCCACTTGGAAAAAGCTCCATCACAAGCCCTTTCTCTTGTATCACCATCTTCTGAAAGTCACAGACAACCATCCACTACGTGGAGACAACATTTACTAAATATTATAAGAAGACCATGGAGAATGCTACTTAAAACCACTACAAAATAAGGCTATTTATCTCTGCTATTAATATTTTGCTTCAAATAGCATTTAGAATATAACTTCATTTTTCTTTCATGAGATTTAGCTGTTAAAATACTCTGAAATATTGAACAGTAGCAGGAAACAGTTTTTGGCTCAAGCTTTTGGAAAAGGTAAATATTCCTGACCAAAAGTCAAGACAAGGTTTCCCTCACAAGAAAGAGCTGACTAGCTTCACCCTTACACATGAAAGTGGTGGCATGTGACTGGAGTCCCTCAATCTTCTTCCACATTCACATCTTTGGAAGACATGGAGTCTCCTATCCTGACTGAATTTAAGGTTGAGAGAAGGTTTCAAGACACTGCAACACAGAACCTAGCATACTTGTCAGGCTTCCACAGTAGGAAGATTCTCACCTTGAAGCTTATGTAGAAAATCTATCAAAAGTCAGTTCAAAGGGTCATAAATTCAGTTCAAGGCACTTCTCCAGGATAATCTCATAGTGATTATACACAACCATTCTGTTAGAAAAATTAACAGGCAAAGGACGACAGAGAGCCTGCACTAGCCTCATTCAGATAGGACAGTGACTGCACACACCATATCACACTAGTCAACTCCTACAACAGAGGATGAAGGATTTGTGGGGAAGGTTGTTGTGTTAATTTCATTGGTTGCTTGCTTTGGATTGTTTGGGCTTGGGTTTTTTTGGGGTTTTTTTTTTTTTTTTTTGGTTTTTTGAGAAGTTACTCCCTACCTCTATCACACAACTGCATTCTGTTCCAGTACAAGCTATGGTGAATAACAAACACTTGTAGTTTCCACTGTCTACTAAAGCTTAAGACAGTAAGGATGGAAATGACTGCTGCACCAAACTGTCTATCTTTATTACAGGATAGTCGAAGTTTTCAACCCTATAGAAGATTTTAATATCCCTCTCCCTTAGTTACACCTGTGCAGATGTTTTCTCTGAGTGCATTTCTAGAATAAACCACATGTGTAAAGATAATATAACATAGAAAATTCAAGATGCACATTAACGTATTAAGACACTGTTGAAGATGTATCCCTGACAAGCTTGTGTGTTCCATAAAGCATTTGAAGAGTCTTCTCAAAGCCAAGTACCATACATACAACACAACTAGTTCCTACACAAGAGCGTGCTGGGTTCATGACACATAAATAAGTAATTCAGACTTACTGACCTCTGTGAAAACCAAGACCTTATTTGTCTCATCTGTAAAGCGGTATGGAAGAAGAACAATGCTTGCAAACTGATCCACTTTTTTCTACAAAGAGAAAAAGAAAAACTGAAACAAATCACAACCAAACAGCAAGTCATATTAAGTAACTTTGTCCCACACGAATGCAGCCACCTGACAAAAACATGAGCACTTAGCCTATACTTACATGTAGTAAACAATCTAATAAAAAACACATGACGCACAGATTGTGACGGCTTTTGTACATCTGCTGTAGAATACAATCAAAACTTCACCAACTTAAAATGAATGAATTATTCATGCTGCTGTTTGCTCAAGAGAAAGGAGCTGGGGTCACCGGCTCCCATGTGTAGGGCTGCTACATTCAGGTGGAATCAGTAACAATCACTGAGATGCTGTAGTCACAGCTTATCAGAATTATGTTACCAATTTAGTAGACAGTGCAAAACAATCACAAGAAATGTGTCCCTTGCTAAGGCATAAGCATACCACACAGCCCCTCAAAACAGTTGCAAGAGGTCTGTATTGCTTTAAGTGTGAACTTACCTAGCTCTAAGAGCCCCCTGGTATGCTAAAGAAGATATTTTGTTAGATCCAGAAGGAAATAAACTTTTAAGAAGCCAAGCTTTTTAACTATGGAGGAAGCAGAATGTCTTAGAGTAAGGCTCAACTGGGCTAGACACCTTTGAACTGACGAAAGGGATGACCCTTATCAGGGTTACAAGAGCAATGCACCAAGACAACACTCAGGCCAGAGTCCTAATAACCTCTTAAGCAGATGAGAAGGCAATAAACATCACATAGAAAAAAAAACTGCCTATGCTTTTTCTTCATTTCTTCATCTGCATCTTTTGAAGACTTGTAAGGACACCACCCACTACCAGTGTGGTGAAGAAGGCTCACACTTACATACTCATTTAACGTGACCATGTTGTTAACCCAACTGAGGAAATCAGATGGCAGCATGGCACTCCTCTAAAAACAATAGGCTTACAACAACTTCACAGGAGTCCTAGCTCTCATGCACTTCAAGGTAACATAGGGAGTCCTTCTGCTCTGGATCCAAGTCCAGTTTGTCATACTTTGGGAGCTGGCATCATCTGTGGTCATGCAACACGAAGCCTTTTTCCAGTAATTGCTGAGGGATATCAGCAGCTCTACAAGAATGTAACAGGGCTTGTGGATGAACTCCAAGGGTTCCAAGAAAATAAACAATGAAATAAGGTTTTTTAAATAAATAAAATAGATGCTTCTGTTTCACATAGAAACACCCTCACTCCAACAGTGTCAATAAAAATATCAACCAACATAGAACAACACTTTCACAGAACATAACAAAAAAAGACATTAAAACAGTGGGAAGCAGAGATGAGAAGAAGCCAGACTAAGACCCTGACCTATAACAATCATTCCAGAACAAAGCATGCATCTGAAGTAATAACCTAGGTGGAAAGGTCAAGTAGGTGTGAGCCTTAGTTCAACCAGTTCTGTCTGAACCTGAATTTCAGATACATAATAGCCCATCTTTGTAATTCCTGAAGATGCTCATCTTCACCCCAAGTACTTAAACTATATTAAATAAGCATACACAGAATAAAAGAAAAAGACACCTGCAAACACGAACAGCATTCCAACACTTAGCCAGAGCATCTGCAAGAGGCAGATGAGAAGACCACTAGTAACGTTTACTCTAAACTTAAAACACAGCTATTCACATTATAAAAAGATAATATAAGAATTACCAGCCACTTCCCACTTACCTTCTTCTGTAGTTCCATATCTAAGGTCACATTAATATACACAAACTGTTTTGGGTATGTGAAGTCCAGTTCCTGAAATTTCTTTAACATACCCACAGCTTCTTCTACATGGTAGGACGGTCGCTCGTAGTACCACGTCAAATACACATCATCCACAGGCTTGCTCAGCAACAGCCGCCTGCCACGTCCTTTTTTCTTCTGGGCTTCTTCCTTCTTGGCCTTTTGCGAGCCTCTTTTTGTATTTCTGAAGCACGCAATGCAAAAAACAAACAATAAAAACCCAACCACCACCAACCATAGAGCACTATGTATTTTAAGAGAAAGAAATAGATACTGTTAAGTATCAGTTAATCCACAAAGAGTTACAAAGGTAGGTTCTACACATAACAAGCAGCGTCCCTAAATTCACTCTAATTACTTGCCTCCAATGGCCAAGCCAGAAAACAAACTTCCAATGCAGTTAACAAACGAGCCCCAATCCTTATATAATCCTGCCTGACTTATTAGGCTCTCAAATCATTGAGAAAAATACTTCAGGCAGAGAAAGACACTATTTCTCTAACAATAAGAATGTAAAAGGTGAGAAATTAACTGCTCTTCAGAGCTCTCAGTATATTGTGCACTCCGCTGCTCTGTACATTGAGCTAATTTTTTCCCCTTTTCTACTTAGGCGGTAGTATCAGACTTAAAGAAACATCAAACTAAAAAACGTCAGAATCTGAAGGACGAGACGTGAGAGGAGCAGCTGAGGCACCTCGGTTCGCTCAGCTCAGACAAAAGGGGGTCAGCTCCTCACAGGTAGCGGAGGGCAGCGCCTACAGCCCCCAGCACACACTCACTTGGCGGCGGCGGCGTAAAGGCGGGCAGGCGGCGCGGCGCCCAGTGGAGCGCCGGCGGGACACTGCTGGAGCCCGGGCAAGGCCCACCGGCGGCACGGGGTCAGCACTGCGGAGAAAAGCACGCACGGCTTCAGACGGGCGCCCGGCCCCGCGGGTAGCCCTCCCGCCTCCCTTCCCCGCTCCTCCCGGCCCCGATGCCCGCGGCCGAGCGCCTTCACCTCGCCGCAGTAACAAGCCCACGGACGCCGCCATCTTGCGCAGCCGCCGCGGTGCAACGCAAAAGACGTCCGCCGGACGCTGCGCCAGCCGAGCCCCGGCTGAAAGCCGCTGCGCGCACCTGGGGGCCGCGGCGCAGCTGCTTGACGTTTATATTTCCTGCTCCGTTCCTAAATACGGCAGGAGCCTCTTGGACTACAGTTATTATTTTTAAATTGGTGTAGGATTCTTTTTTATGGGCATTAAGCAACTATGTATATACTAAAGCCGTGGCAAATATAATGCAAGACCTACCACGAGTGCTTAATGTGTGCCTATGATGGGCTAACAACCTGCATCCTCCATCCTGCTCCTCAAAAACTTCTGAACCCACTCTGAGCTCCCCATTTGTCAGCATGTCACTGCTTCAGACCATGCATTTTGGCCCTATGCGGGATGCGCTGGCTCACAGATCAGTTGTTAATAATCCTGTATTACAGCACAGCGAGGAATCAAGATGTAACGAATGTATTCTGCAGAGGAAGCAGGGCTTTGGGGAGGCTGCAATGTACCATACAAGTGCCTAGCGAGGCCCCAGGGATGCTGGTCTTGCCAGCAGTGACCTCAGGCAGGCCACTCGCAGAACCTGGATTCTCAGTTACGCTACCTTTTGAGAAGGGAGGGAAACAATACCTGAGGTGAGGGTGGCGAGGCCGTGGCCTGTAATGGGAGCCAGGAGATGTACAGAATGATTAACCTTGGCAATGGGAGAAGGGAGGGCACAATCCTCCTTCACTGATCCATTTGGTGGTGGTTGTTTTTTTTTTCTGGAGAGGAAATGACCAGAACAGATAAAGGCACTCTCCTATCAAAGAAGTCAGTGCCAGTGCCTTTCCAAGGCAGCACGTGACTTTTCTCCTACAAAAATACATCCCAGTAAAGATTATTTTCTTTCTTTTTCTCTCACTCTGCCCTCCTCTGTGCATGTGTGCACCCACTCCCAACCACTCATTTGCACTGGAGATCATTAGCTGTCTGAACTCTTTGCTCTACCATGGAGGCTCCTTCTGTGCTCCTCATTCTCTGAGCGCATACGAGCATCTCTGGTCCCACAGGTGAACGCATCACAACCAGCACTTTTCTCTGCCCTTGCTTATTTTTTTTTAATTTTCCCCTTTTATAATACGCTTTCCCTCTCTCTACACCCACATATTTTCTTTTAGAACTTAGGAACGGTTCCCCGCAGGAAGGCCATCTCCACCTCTGGCATGCCCAGCTGGAGAACACCTCGCTCCGATGCCGGCACACCATTTACGTGCCCCGTCCGCCCTCTGGCACGGGTCTGCGGAGAGACGGAGCGGGTTTCGCAGCAGGGGGACACCTCCCGCGGAGAAAGAGCCGATGGCAGACAAGACCTACGCCCCCACAGGCTCACGCTCAGCGCGGGGCCCCGTCACCCCGACACCTGAGTCATTTCCTCAGCCCGCCTGCGACCGCCGGAGGCCTTTCGCGGGGCGACCTGCTCCTCACGTACGCCCTGTCAGACTCCTCTCTCTGTAATTAACGGCAATTAGCCACGGAGGGCTCTTTTCCCTCCCTAGGATCGGGGCACCACTGGCGTCCCCAGGAGCCGCCGCCGCCCCGCAGGGCCCGCCGGGGGCTCCCCGCCACCGCCCCGGGGTCTCGGCGCCGCCCCGGGGTCCCTGCGCCGCCCGCCCCGCTCCTGTCGCCTCCTCCTCCCGTCCCCACCTCCCGCTCCCCCGCCCTCCGCGCCGCCCGAGCCCCGGCCCGCTCCTCCCCGCCGCCGCCGCCGCCGCCGCCGCCGCCTCCGCCGCCCCGTTCCCCGTCCCCGGCGGGCCGCCGCCTGCATGTCGTTGCTGCCCGCCGCCCCGCCGCCGCCGCCCCGCCGCCAGCCGCCGCCGCGCCGGATGCAGGTGAGCGCTGCGGCCCGCCGGGGCCTGGCGGGGATCGGGGCCGCCATGTCGGGGCCTGCGCCGCCCGCCAGCACCGGGGCCAGCGGCCGGCCAGGCGGCTGCGGGGAGTCGGGCCCGCCCGGTAGAGGAGGGAGGCCTCGCTGAGGGGATGAGGGGCGGCGGGAGGACCGCGCGGCTTCCCCGATCCGGGGCCCGGGCACGGCCGTGCGGGCTCCGCGGGCCCACCGCTGGGACGGCCGGCCGCTCACCTGTGCGCCGTGCGGCGGGGAGCGCTGCTTCTTTCCGGGGGGTTTCACCTGCCGCAGCACCGCGCTCGGGTGCTGGCAGAGGCGAGGACAGGCATGAACGTCCAAGTTTGTGCCAGCAGTCCGGGGGCTTGCTTCGTAAACTTCTCGGTGGAACATGGCGGAGCACGTCCCGCCGTGTGCTGTCCAACCGCCTGAAACCTCAGCCACATTCTGTCCGACCTCCCGGGACCTCGGGGCAAGCAGCTTTGTCAGCCTGCTGCTGAAACTTGGAGGAGACCGAGTGCCCGCTTTTAGGAGCCGCAAGTTGTGTTGATTGGCCACCACTGGGACGGGAGGCCTGTGGCCAAACGCTGTCTGTGGGGAGGGCATTTTGCCCCTGCTGTGCTGAGCCCCCCCATCCCGAGTCAACCTGGAGGGGAGCACCTCATCTTGAGTTGCTCCTAGCGTGTGTAGACATGGCCGATAATGAAAGTAAGGATAACGTAGCTATTTTTAGTGTCTGCCATTCTTTGAGATGTTTTTGCCCCAGTGCAAGTTTTTTAACAAAGAAATACAAAGTGTATTGTGTCCAATAAGAGCGTCATCCCTGTGACGAAAGCCTAGGAGTTCCTAGAAGCAGCATCCACATGTGGAGGGCCAAAGGGCTTTGGCAGGGCTGGAGTGTGGCCTTTACAAACAAAGCACCACTAGCGTTTTCCTCCCTGTCTCTCTGTCCCAAAACGTGATGTGATGGTGAACTTTGTACTGAGAATGCTGTCTATCCACGGGGCAGCCCGCTGGGCCTGGCTGTGCACTGGCAGTACTCCAGACTGACAGAGGCGGCTCTGCATGCACAGGTCCCTGCGTGGCCCCTTCCATTTCCACCGCACCATGCTGCAGGCCAGTGTGTGCCTTATCAAAGCTCTCCAAACTGAGGACTGCAAATGCCTCAAGCTCTCTGTGCCCTGCTGAGGGTAGTGAGACATTACTACTTGGTTGTGTCATTTTGCTCCGGAGTAGATGAGCGGTGTGTGCCGATGACATCGTGCTGCTCCGTAGCTTGCCTGTGTCTGTGCATCACCATATGCGTGGCCCGCAGTACTGTGTTGATTGATCCAAACAGAGTTTATGTTCCAATATCTACTCAGGCGTGAAATCTCCTTGCCCACTGCCTTCAGAGACCATTGGGGATGATAGAAGGCCTGTGACCACCAGGTCGGGCAGAGTGGTGGGAATTCTGCAGCACTGTGCTGCCCGCTAAGCAAACCTCATTAAACACTTTCAGTTTTGTCCTTTTCTCACTACGAAAAGTGAGGAGCTGTAGCACTACGAGTTGCTGAAGTACAAAAGAGAAATTATTCTGTTTTGCCTTTTCTTTCTGCAAGGGCTCTTGCTTTCTAATTTAGTCTGTGAATTTCATTGAAGCATAAAGTACGATGTAAGTGGATGATAGGTACTGCCACATCCTTGGGCTGAGGTTAGGTTTCCTTTGCCCTCAGAAACCGAGATGCTGACATGCCCGTGACAAAGGAGTAGGAATACCCGTTGTCAGACTGCTGGAAAAAGTTTGTTTGGCAGCAGTGTGAAAAACGCGAAACTTTGCAGATTCAATTAGAGCCACTGAGCTTCACACTGGGCCTATATGGCAAACTTCTGCTGGCACAGCTCTGTCTGCGAGCGCTGTGACGAGGTGTGACCCGTGACTGACATAGCTGTGCCAGCAGAAGTCCCTGCTGTAGATGCAGTTATCTGCAGAAGTGCGCTTTTACTGATAGGGCTTGTTTTCGTTTTTAAGGGTGTTTTTCCTTGTAGCGGTGGCGGTGTCATTGCCAGCAAAGCGCAGAACCTTTAGGGTGAGAGGAGTTGGTGTGTCTGGCTCGGAGGGGACACCATCAGCCTGCGCTCTGTGAGGGCAGTTCTCCCCACCCCAGGTATCAGGAGCTCGGGAACGCCTGCAGTAGCAATTCTCTTGCTGAAGTAAGTGGTGTTATGACTGCTCCTTGTTTTCTTTCCTCACAAGGATCTTTGTAAAGCTTCATTTCGGGCGATAAGCTGGTGTTTTTTTTTTTATTGTTTGGATTCTGGCTGTTTTTCCTTACTGGACTTGCTTTTATAAAAAGCAGGGCAGCTTTGCTCTGAGCCTGCCAAGTACAGCAATATTCTGCTCTCACACCAGTCCTGTAGAAATCAGCCAGAACACGATCCCAACGCATCTGCGGACTGTGGAGGTAAAATGAAAGGGAGCCATTGGAGAAAAGTTAATTAATTTGCAGACTGGAGTGAGTCTTTACTTAATTTAAACCTAAAGCATTGCAAAGAAAATCTTGCATTGAGGTAGGTCTCTGCAGCCGCTGTCTTGTTCAGAGTCAGTGTGCACAAATGGGAAGGTGCTTTTTCTTTTCTATTTTTTCTGAGAACATTTTGCTTTCAGTGGTAGCATCGATAATAAGCACAACTCTTGAGCAAATTTCCAGTAACAGAATAGAACTAGTGCTTAGATCAGCCTTATGGAGACTTTTAGGTTGCTGAAGTTTAGAAGGGGGGATACATACAAATAAATAGTTTGCTTTCTGGGAAGAGATCTGTGAGTTCAGAGGGCCTGTGAGGCAGTGGGTGTCACCAGCTCTGCTCCAGGAGCCAGCATCGTGTTGGATGCGTTGTTAGAGAGCATAAGACAGCACTCCAGAGGCCTTTAAAAACTAAGTTAAATACCTCTTATGCATACCTTCTGAATCTAATTCAGGAGGATTTGCTGTGGATTTGCTACTTAAAGCGTTAAATACTAAGCCTCTGCTAATTTTTTTTTAAATTCAGTGCTTCTTTTGACAATGGCCTGTAACAAAGCTTGTGTGCTTGTTAACTGCTTCACTTCCTTCGGTCTCGATGGCTCTTGAACATGCGGCTGCCCTCCTCTGCATTTGTCTGCGTCCCACCAGTGGCGCAGGCCAGGGGAGCGAGCTGCCTGGGTGCTCCTGCCTGAACACAATTGCCT